ATTACCTTCCAATTAAAAATACAGGAAGCAGAAATCACCTCAGTTCATGTTAGAATCCGCCCCAAATAAAACTCTTTCAAAATGTGCCTCTTTCCATTTCGACAGCCACAACCCACAGCAGCGTCCAAACACTTCTGTGGCGTCTGTAGCATCACCTCCCCTGCTCCCTAGATTGCCACACGAGATTCCTTAGTAATCAGAGAGCAAAACCGTAAAACAAACACGAACTCCCACTGTAACCCAATTTTACTTTTCCATCTTTGTATATTCTACAAGAGACAGAAAGACCTTGTCCTGGACTGTCTCCATGCACCTGAAGACCAGTGGCTTAGTATAACTGAACGTTAAGTTTTGCAAAGTCTCTAAACTGCAAATGCCAGTGTAAAAAGGTTACAGTGTTCCAGTTTTATTATAAATACTCATTCAGCAAAAATATCCTAAAAAAAAAAGGCCTCAGTCAATGACTTATTTGTTTTAAGCCCTATTAACGCAATACAACGGGATTTGACCCTATCACCTAATTATTCCAGGGATGACTTCTTAGAAACTCTAACTTTCATTTGTAATTGTGATGCCCTCTTGTGAGATCCAAGCAGATGAATGAGGTTAAGTTAGGACACCACTGAGAGAGGGAACCTAAAATTGAATGTATCTGCCACCAGCGGCAGGAGGAACTCCAGAGTCACTTAGATCAAATGCTTCCTCTGTACGCAGAATTAATCAGTCCTAAAAATATCTTAACATGGTACAAGGCAGTATCTCTCTTCAGGAAGTGCCAACTTCATGCCGAGAAATACATTCTGTCTTAACTTCAGAACACCATTCAAAATTATCCCACAGAAAAGGACACCAGTTTAAGAGATCTGGCCTGATACCAAGCTGCATAGTTACACTTTGTTCTTTGAAACTCACTGTGTTGAAATATCTGGACATTTTTTTTTTCTGTTCTAAACTGCAGCTAAATCATCTTACACAAATGTTGGGAACCTAGTGTAAGCCATTTTTTAGCATCGGATGAAATGATTCTGCCCTTCTTATCTGTCCCAAAGATGTCTTGGGGGCTGTCTTCATGTGAGCAGGGTCCTTAGACCCCGCCTGAGAAGCATTACCACAAAGTAATCTCTTGTAACACTTATGGGTCTGGGCATAGAACAAGACCATTGTGTGTGACCTGATTTCATTTCAGCGAATGTCCCAGTAAAGAATGACATCATCCTATTCTTGTTCTTTCTGATGGTCACTTGTGCCTGTCCCCGTCCCCCAGCCCTGACCCTCATCATAATTAAACTGCTTCCCCCCTCCCATTCCTCACTCCACATCCCCATGAGAATCACTCTTTTGCTCTTAGCTTCCTGCCTGAATGTATCACTATGGCAAGAGCCCAGGGTTTCCCTCTGGTCGGTCAACAATGCTGGAGTTTGCTTCTCCGCTGTACGAGACAAAGCACTATTCTGTTGGCAGCCAAAGCACACTGCGAGGGCCATCTGCTGGGACAGGTCTCAGTCAGATGGGAACGGAGACGAGCCAGCTGAAGGCGGCAGAACGTTTCTCAGCGCTTTGGAGCTTGGTTTTCCTTAAACACAAACTTGCCGGCTTTGAGGATGTATTGTCTAAACAGATCCACTCAACTACGTACATGCCACGTGTGCACACTTGTATATCTGTACCCACTAACACTGGCTTTGTCACTTCGATGTGTATTGAAAGACTCACGTGCGAAAGTATTTAGTTTCAGATGGATGAAAGGATGATGCAGGGGAAGCCACCAGTTTAAAAACAGGCGTGAGAAATGCAACCAGAGCGAGCGGCTGTGTGAAGGAAGGTACTGACTGCGGTGTTTTGAGTACTCCTTTTATAGAGAAAAAAGCACAATCAACTGATGTCCCACCTCCGTGCAATGGAACGTGGTGCATGAATTTAAACTATCAGCGATGAAGACAAGGCAGAGACTAAACTGTTTGGGTAGAAAGGTAGGTGAAAAAAAAATCAGAATAAAATTGTACATTCTCCAAGTTTCCAACTACATAAATGTTAGGTAGTACCGTACAAAACTGCTGCCTTTGTAGTCAGAAAAAGTCCAATAGTAGCAATTTTCTAAGATTCCACATAGCATGTATTCACACAGAAAAGATGTAGGGGCTTGGGGTTAAGCGTGTGCATGTTTTTTAACTTCAAAAGAAGTTCCTAATAAGGTAGCCATTATACTGCCTTTACAACAAATACATGGTTTTAACTGACATTAGGATTCTGTGTAATAAATTGCCCTCTTTAATGAGAAATGTTAAGGGTAAGAGTGGTCACAAAGGAAGTCTGCTTCTGAGCATGCCCAAATTCTTTATAATCTGCAGCAAGTTTTAAATGCTCTAGGATACCAAGACGAGGATCATTTTAGTGGTTTTTTTAGGGTCCACATCTGAAATTGATTCTTTGAAAAGACATTGTTTACTATTACACTCTATGGACAATTTTTAAAAAATACTTAAATTAAGATACTGAGTATAACTGAAAAAAGAAAAAAAAAGTGCCAAGGAGGCACAGCTAAGGCATGCTTGAGATAACATTTTCCATCCCAAATAAGCATCAAGAGGTCTAGGAAAGGTCTTAATTTCCTTCCAAACAACACAGTTGCCATTCTAAGTTATCCCATCTGTGTGCACCAAACCTGGTCTGACAGCACAGTGTTTGAGTCCAGAAGGTACAATAGTGGCCATTCAGGTTTTGGCAGGTGTATTTCAAGCTGAAAACCAGGCTCCACTGAAAATAACTGTCTATCCCACAGGTGTGAACATTTGTGACAAGAGCCCTCAAAATCTCCCCCAAGCTGCGACGTTAAGTTGTCCTTCGGGTGTCTCATTGTATGTAAATACAACCTGTCTCTCCTTGGAACAAGAGCGAATCTTCCGGCAATCGCACAGCCAGAAGATGCTTTGGGCAGCCTCTGAGATTTGCTTCTGCCTTCTCCTGGTTCTGTTTCTTGCGTTATGTGCTTTGGAGGTAATGCCAAATTCAATGAACTGCAGGTAAGCAGTTCTTAAAGCTGGAAAAATAGTAAATGAAAGGACTTTATACCCCAATGACACAAACAGAGGCCATCAAAAATGCACAGGGCAGCATGCTGAAGCCCTAAGACTCATTAAAATGGTCCTTACTTTCTAAACCAGACGGCTTGCACACACACAGAAAGGACCTATTTCTTTCCACAAAATTTGCCGAGTGGGAGGACTGTGCCCAGGTGAATACAGATGCGGCCACGGGAAGCGATCAGCTACCAACCTAATCCAGCTCAAATGATGGAGGAGGAGGGGCACAGATCTCTGAAGCCAGCAGCCGGTCAGACTTTGAATTTGAATTTTCCAGTCCGAAGACAGAAAAAGCAGACTGGAGCCTGCTCTAACAGGGGTTCCGCAGATTTAGAGGAAGTAAGTGTCATACATGTTAAATCTGAGCAAGTAATTCTAACTTGATCCAGTATTAGAGTCAACACATTTCTATTTTCTCATAATAAGGCTACGCTGAGAAATAAAAGGATGTGATACCAAAAGTGGTGAAGTTACCCATGAAAGGGAGAAAAAGTGTGAAATGAAAGATCACAGGACAGATAATAAACAACTCGGTCTCCCCAAAAAGTGGCCTCTTCATAACACAAAAGAGTCTGAGATGGACGCTTTGCAAAATCAGGTCTTCAGTGACCTCTTGGGAAGACATAGGGTGGCCTCCAGCATGAAAGGTTTTCCAGCCTCTACTATAGTTAATTTTGAATGGCATGATACTCAAGGTCAATCTCTTTCTTTCCTACAGAAAAACTGATGCATTGGACTAGACAGTCACAGAAAAAGGTTTTGCAAACTGACTCAAGAAGATGAAGAAGCTTTAAGAAGTCACGGTTCTACTGATTATTGAACTTATTCCTAAACATGCCTTTTTTCAGTTTTGGGGGAATATTTTCCTTTCCCATTTGGAGTTTTGAAGTAAGGAGACCTAAACTTCAATTTGTCTTCTCTTATTGTTAATTTAACTTATGAATAACCAGCATCCAATACATTCCTGGTGAGACCCCAGACCCACCTGCAGACAAAGCTCTGAAAATTATAGAAGAACTGCCAGTGCTCATGATTTTCTGTCAAGGAACTAAGCTAACCCAGACTCCCACACACTTTTAGCTATTCCCTTGTTCCCTGGCCGTTTGTAGTATGAAGACAACGTGTTTAATTCCGTAAGTATTAGCAAGATAAGCTGGAGAAATCAACCCTCAAAAGACAAACCTGAAACTCAGGTCACACTTGGAAGATTCTGTTTTGTTTCGTTTTGTTTGTCTGAAGTTCATGAGTTTTTTGGTGATTAAAAGACTTATCCCAAGGCAACCTGGGCTAACACAAGATTCAGAATGAAAGTCAAGCAAAGGGCAATGATTTTGAAGAGCTGCAATTTGAAACCAGGAGGAACTCAACAGTTTCCCTGTTTGTTTTGGTTGAGGGCGAAGTGGAACAACTTTCAATGCTGACATTTAAGAAGAGACTCGTGGGGTCTATAAATGCTTATGAATTAACACCCCTGGGATGTTTTTGCAACCAATGTTGTATTGCTGGGGTGGGTCTCGGTAGCTTGCCCTGGCCTCACGACACTCTTGGCACTAATGTATCTGGCCAAGGCGAGAAACTGTGAAGTCAAACTGTGAACAAGACAGCTGACATCTGCAGTTCTCATGCCTGAAACTGTGGATGTCTGGGCATAGCTGGCCGGCCATCAACAATCTCTCAAATCCCTGAGCTTCCTGAATAGCCCATGACATGTTGATAAAGTTACACGATTCTTTTGCTGGTTCTTTCGTCATCCTGAAGACTAATTTCATGAAATGGCTCTGCTACATTTAAGGTCCCCTTTCGCTCTCAGTTTCTCATAATTCCCCATCCACGAACCATCCCCCTCTTCAAGTGACATGGAGCACTCAGGTTTAATTACCGCCTTAGTTTAATCAAGAGATAAATATTTGATATGAGTACCTTTGAAGATTTTCTGCAATCACTCTGCCTTGGAGAACCTGCATGTCATTTGCTAAATTCACTGTCCTCAGATGATGGTGGCTGGCCGTCAGCACCTAAGATGGAAGACAGCAAAGGTGCCATCAGCGGCATTTTATCAGTGATTTATCTTTCAGATCACGCCCTTTCACACCTTCAAAGGAGGACGGCGTTAGGAATAGCTTTCGCCAAATTTCATCCTGATTGAGTTTCTTACAGTTGTTCCAGGAGACTTTTGAAGCCTTGTGGGAAAAATTGGTCCTTTCCTAGAAGTTTCCATTTGACTTTCTCTTCATTGAGGAAAAGACTCTCCATTAGGGTCATTTCACATTATTCTCTGACTGGATTTCATAAAGCCAATAAAAAAGAGTTGATTTTTAAAGGTGTATAAAGTGTTTTGAGTTTAAAAGTTGAATGACATCTAATTTCAGGTTATGAGACCTATTTTAAAGGAACATGTGCAGAATCATAAAATCTTCTCAAGTGACTGCAAGCTATTATTTGAAGAGCAGCAAAGTAAGCAAAGTGGTTAAATTTGTTTCTATTCTGCATTTATGACAGTTGAAAAAATGTAAGTGACTAACATCAACTTAGCTACTTTGAGTAAGAGGAAACACCCATTTTACTGCATTAAGTATTTGATGAAACAATCTTGCTGCCAAGAATAGCACATTTTAACGTATACACACTACATACAAATGCAGATATGATACATAAAATAGAAACGGAAAGAAATCTAGTACATACGTCTTACAAGGAAACATAAGTTGTAAGACATAGAAGCTGTAAGAATAGGAAAAAGACGCACCCTATTTAACAACTCAAAAATCTCTTTTACATTTAAGAATACTTCTCTTGCCCATATACTAATAAGGCATTTCGTTCGGAGCTTTCTTACCTCTTCACTAGTGAATAATCTCAGAATCTCAGAGGTAACGGGTGCAGATTACTTCAATACAATAGACCTGGAATCTCTTCTTGTTTGGAACTGGCCCTGTTGACTCTGGTTAAATGTGGGCAGTCCCAGGCTCTTCGCTGTGTTCTGGAAGCTTCACTCTCAGAGACTGCTGCAGCAGGACCTCCCCCGAGCTGGCCTTCCGTCGCAGGACTCTTCCTCCCAAGCTGCCTTTCCCTTATCACGTCTCTTTCCATCCCCGGCAGAAGACCAACTCCTCCACCCACTGATGCCGCCCTCCGTGATCTGGCACACTTTTGACCAGTCGGCTTTTTGACCACTCCCTTGTACTCATCCTGGGAGTTGGTGAGTTCGAGAACTTTGATATTTTCTGTTTCTGCCTCTCTGATAACATGACAAATGATTATAAGCATTATGCAGATCTCCACTTTCTCAATATGTGCCGGGAAGACATAGAAAAGTTTGTTTATAATTATGCATGGCACCTTGCAATCTCCCAAAGTAAAAGATGACGTTTGAATGTGAGGCTACAAGGATCTGTGGTCATGCTGGACTAGCCAACCGTCAAAACAACAACATCCTTTCCGCGGTTGTTCTGAATCTAACTGCTGGGAGCAGCGGACCCTGGAATCTGCAGATCCTGAATTCCAGGCTGCAGCATCCACTGGCCGTGTGACCTTGAGCAAGTTACTTCATAGAGAACACAGCTCAGTATCCTCTTCTGAGAAAGTGAGGATTAAGAAGAGTATCTATCCCATAGGGCTGATGTGAGGGTTACATACAAACATCCATGTGAAAAATTCAGAGGAGTACGTGGCCCATCACAAGCATTGAATAAACATGGCAATCATTATCACTTGCATAGGACTTTTTTTTAAGCCCTTAATAAAGATATAATTTTTCTTGCAGTGATTTGCTATCAAAAGACATTTTCATGGCACGAGACCAGAGTTTTCATAAATTTTGTAAATGGAGACTTTGCTTTGTCATCATTAAAATGATAATGTGTGGGAGAATAGTGAAATATTTAAGCGCTATTAAATTAATGTCATAATTTAAAGGCTGTGAAAGAACACAAGCAGGCATTTATACCTGCTTGGTATGTGTATGCATGTGAGAAAGCAATACCTCTGTTGTGCCATATAAAGTTTTATTTGCCAGAGGAGAGTAGGGTGATGCCCTGGTTCTCGGTTCCCTAATCTTGACACCAGCAGATGGACTGCCTGGATCCTTGCTTCTTTTACATGTGCCAACTTGTAATAATTCATTAGAAGTGGAGAATGAAATGTGCAATAGAAAATTTTAATTAAAGTATTTCTTTCCCTCCCTCTCCCCCTCTTTTTTTTACAATTTCATTAATGAACACTTGGTTAAAACAAATTTGTATTTTTAGACTCAGCAAAACAGCATCCTCTGGAAAATCAAATTACTATCTCTAGTTTTGACCAATTCATTCTATTCCCACCAATAGAACATTACTGGTTTACGGTTCTGTTTACATTTAAGCCGCAATTTATTTTGGATTTTCAATGATGTAATTGTATGTATATTATTGTGGATTTATAGTTATATAAATATAATTAAAGTAATTTATATCTGGTCCTTTGGGGGTATAAATAACCGTCGGGGTGGGGGGTGAAATAACCATTACTTATTTCAGGAACGGTTTAGTAGATAATGATGGGGGACTCCGTGGTCCACTGCTCAGGTGGACAGGTGCCCCTGGACAGCACGCGCCAGCCTGGCTTCCTCGGGGTCCTGGAGTGAGATCCTCTCATACTTTCACTTCTGCTAGAAAAGTTTACCTTTAACTCCCTCCACATAGTAAAATTCTAAGTGTCCCTTCAGGATCAGCTGATGACCTCAGTTTTCATCTCTCTCTCCTTCCAGAACTCCTGTACACTCAAAACCTGTGCCCCCCAATGCAATGTTTAGTTATGCAGTCTCCGCTGCTGCCTAGACCAGTGACCGTGTCATCTCTCTGGCCAGGTCTGAAGGTGAGTGAGGGCTGTACCTCGGGCTCTGTCTACATTCGGTGCTGTGGTCATCCTGTGGCCCCAGAGCTCCTGTGCACTGACTGGGCATCGCTGTGCCGTCAGGATCTGAGTCACACATTGACCCTTGGTTTGCTTGGGAGTTTATCCAAATTTTGGTTAAATATATCTAAACTGAGACCCTGAATGGCTCCTGAAGCAAGAAAAAATGGCCAGCTCACAGCCCGAAAGCTGGGCCACACAAACCTGAATGGAGCAGGGAACCTTTGCCTCGGCTTTGGGTCATTTTGTCCTTTCCTGTTCTTAAGTCAGAATTATAGTATTTCGTGTAAGCAATGCAGGAAGACTCAGATATATGTGTGTGTGTTTAGGGAGCGTGCAGAGGAATTTCGGTTTCTCTGTTCGTAAAATAAAAGGTAAGACTAGAAGACTTCCCAATCTCCTTCTGCTCTAAAATTCTATAAAACGTTGGTACGTGTGTCCATTAATTTGACATTAACATCCACAAATAAGTGTGGGTGCGCGCCAGAATTCCACCTGCTGGTAATATGTCGAGAAGTTAAGCTCGATAGTTTAAGAGCTGTACTTTAAAAGTTTGGTTTGGCGTCCCCTCTGTATTAGTGTGTTATTACACTTAGCACTCAGGAATCCATGCTGGAAAGCAAGCAGATGATTGAACTTAACTCTCCTGGCTTTCTCGGTTGTTCAGAAACGGAGCTGCATTTCCTGGCTCTCAAACTTCGTAAACTCATCAGATTTTGCTGCAGAGAGATGTCATTAAAATAACAGTCCTCGGTGGAAAACACTAGTACCACTCATAGTTAGTGAAATGCTGAAACAGTAACTGATATTTTAAACCTGTGCATTGGAGGCATTTCTTTATACTGTATACGTATGTGCATGTGTTTAGAGAGATGTGTCAAATATGTGTTTATCCTCCTTAAGCAGCTGTCCTTTAATTGTCTCCTAAAAGTGGCTTTAGTCTTGTTGCTGATGTGTCTTTCTCTTTGCTTCCTGCACCTTGGAAGGTTGTAACTGTTTCCAAGCTGCTTTCCCCAAGGAGTTATTGAAGGGTTCAAAATGTCCTCATTAGAAAACTTACACTGAACCGCACAAGTCTTGCCTTTGTGGACGGTGCACGCACGTGGGGCTATTACTTCATGTACAATGACTTGAGACCAGAAAACATGTGAACAGGAAGCCAAACCCAAGAGAGAGCTGGGGCGCTTCCAGCTTTGCACGGAGCACAGAGATGAAGCAAAATTCAGCATGCTGCTCTGGCCTCAGGCGTCTGGGGGATGCACAGCTGCACCCTGTCCACTCTTCAAACGCTGCGCAGGAGAGCACGGTGGCTCAGGGCAGTCCCCAGCCTGGAGTAAATCATCATGTCATCAAACTCAAAAAGACTGTGAAGTTGGAGCCCTTCCTTGTGAAGCCAAGACTTTAAATGGCTTGAGTAGCCTAAAAGGAGAATGGCCGGCACCATGTATGGAAGCTCAGGATGGTCCTCATACTTTCAGTTGCACTCATAGGAATTCCCCCAGATAGATCTTGCTCCTTCTTTAAATAATAAACTTTCCCATGAAGCAAGCTCATCTTATTCTAAATATATTTGGTGATTATTTTGTATAACTGAGATAGTAACAGCTCCTGGGGACTCATTTTTTCTTCTTCTTATTTTTTTAACAGTGGAAGCATTTTAGCAGAAACAGAAACCTTTCTCATCATTTCAAAAACCAAAGATTAATTTCTGAGGTTAGGGGAATCTGAAATGAGCTAACAGAAGCCAGAATGGCTTCAGATTATATCCAAATCTTATCTTCCTGATGAGTGATAAAACTCTTTCTATTTAGAGGTGAAAAGAGTTTCTTAAATCTGCTTTTAAATGTGTTGATACAGTTCACCCACCAGGAGGAAATACTATACGACTTTGTGAGATCAGCCATGAAGGCTAGGCCTAAGCCCCTTTCGTAGTAAATGGCATTTGCTCTGAAGTTCAGGTGGGGTAAGAGCTCTGAAATCCAGGAAATCCGATAGAGGCTTTGCCACAGAAGATTAGAAAGGGTGAACGGGTATAAGAAAATGAAGGTTATCGAGTAATCAGACCTCAAAGACTTTAAGTCGCAGCTTCCTGTCTGCTAATCAGATTCTTTTCTATTCATTCTCA